GGGGGAGAGCATCTGTAAGGGTTGTGGTGATGGCAGTCACAATTAGTCCCGTAACTTGGCCAGTCTCTACAGACACCCGACCCCAGTCCACGTCTTCTAAAATGATGTCGGTTTAATTGTCGGTTTGATGAGGAAACCGGAAGTTCAGCAAGCTGGGCAATGTTAGTTAGGAGGCACTGCGGGGATTCGATGAGAACGCCCAATGCCGCCATCATCTGTCCACCCGCAGTCTCAATGGTAGCCCAGTCCAAGAATCTTCTTTCTAGGGGTAAAGCCACCCCAGGGAGTTCCCAGAAACTCACCGTCAGGGGCAGGCAAAACGAAAAGGCGGAACAGGCACTGGAATGGTCGAAAAACGCCGCCGCTGCTCTCAAAATAAAGCCTGCCTCCTCGGTGTCAAACGGCCGAAATAGCGCAAAAATCACCGGAGCCTCCGAGACCGCTGGAATTGCCACAATCTGCACGGCGCAGGGGCGGTCTCCCCGAGACCTCGTCCTCGCCGTCCTCACCGTTAGTAGACAGGGCAGGAAGATGGAATAGGCGATAAAGCCACCGGGAAGCGCCGTCGCTGTTATCCGGCCGAGGTTCCTCTCCTCGTTGCCGAGCGGCCGGGAAAGCATGGGAACCGCCGGAGTCGATAGAGCCGGCGTCGTCCAGGGTCGTCCCAGAGTGGCACCCCCTACCGCTAGCTGGTCTTCCTGGGTCCCCAGAATATTGACCATCCCGGGCAAACCTCCTTTCTCAGGTTTAAAGTTGCTGCTGGAGACTTTTTTAGGCATTTTCGCCGGAGAAACTCACGACGAAGAAAGCCTCGCAGCCATCTTGGTCTCGCACATGCGCACTCGACTGCACATGCGCACTCGACTGCATTTTGAACTTGTTGTAAGCCACATATTGGTTCAGTTTCTTCAAATCTAGTATCGCTCTCCACCCCCACCCCCACCCAAGTTTTGAGCACTAGAAATAGAATGGAATAGAACCTCCTGTGTTCTTGCCCCAGGGGAACTGTTTCTATGGACCTGATTTCCCTGAGGTGATGGATCTCGGCATCCATGAGGTCCCTCTTGGTGGTACAGCTGGGAGTCGGGCAACAAGTCAAGTGGTACCGGGGGGGGGGGAGAAATTCCAGAGTGAGGCCTATCCGAATCGTTTGGAGCACCCATGCATCTGAGGTAATCTCCTCCGATCGGGTGGCAAAGAGTTGCAGCTGTGCCCCAATGGGAGGATTGGGATGGTGGTCACTTGTTTCGATGGAAAGGTTTGGTTCCAGACCCTCCCCGAAAGGGATGACGGGAGTAGGGCTGCTGACAGGCCCTATCCCGAAATTGATGTCTATCCTGGTTGCAATCCGTCCCCTGAGCGTAGGAACGCTGAAAGGAGGAATTGTTGATCGGAGGATCAGCTGGGCAGGAAGTGTGCCTGCAGGAGGAGGAGGACGACCTGCGGTCTGGTTTCCTGGAAACCGAAGGCATCACCTTCCGTTTATCCTTGTTCTCAATCAAAACTGAGTCAAGGGCCTCCCCAAATAACTTGCCCCCTTTAAAGGGGGCAGAAGCTTCCATTTTGAACGCATGTCCGCATTCCAGTGCCAGAGTCATAGGAGCCTACGAGAGGTGACATTAGAGGCCATGGCCCGCGAGGCAAACTTTGCAGCGTTAAGGATGGCATCTGCAGAGTATTCCACCGTGGCCACAATTTTGTTTATGCCATGCCACAGTCTGGCGTACCCTGTCAGGAGTCTAGTAAGTAACTGACGAAGCCAGGCTATAGTGGCCCTATTAAAGAATGAGGCGGAGGTGGCTGCCTTAATGGCCCTCTAGAAGGTCAGGTGGCAGCACTGAAGAGGAAGTGAGAGCTTGAACTGGAAGATCAACAGAAGGAAGCTTAAGAAGCTCCTCCATGGTGGGACCCACTGAGTAAAGGTGTTTGAGACCCAGAGTCCCAGGCTGGACCCACTGGCACTGGACTACGTCTTTAAAGAGTTTGGGAGAAGGAACAATCTCCTGGGCGGGAACCTTCTCATCAAACAGGCCTTTACTGTGATCCGTGGGATCCGCAGTGGCCTGGTCCGGGGAAACCTCCACCTCCATGTGGGTGGACACCTTGGCCTTAATAGCAATAGCAATAGCAGTTAGACTTATATACCGCTTCATAGGGCTTTCAGCCCTCTCTAAGCAGTTTATAGAGTCAGCATATTGCCCCCAACAACAATCCGGGTCCATATGTGGTAGACGTGTAGGGATACAAGAAGCTATTGGGTTAAATACAAACATGGTTAGTGAAAATGTAACATCGAGACGTAGAGTTGAGATCAGAGGTATTTTTATTGGGTATCTTATCAGAGAAATATAGTAAATAAGATACATGTTTGATTATACACGTAATAATAGCAGCTAGAATTGTATCCCTACACGTCTACCACATATGGACCCGGATTGTTGTTGGGGGCAATATGCTGACTCTATAAACTGCTTAGAGAGGGCTGAAAGCCCTATGAAGCGGTATATAAGTGGAATCATCTAGGTTGTCTTGATTGACCAGTGGATTAGACTAGATGACCTCCAAGGTCCCCTCCCAGCTCTACTCTGATTGATTGGTTGATCAAAGTCGGGAACGTTCCCACCGTGGAGGTTTTAAAGAAGGGGCTGGACACAGCCAGATGCCTGAAACGGTGTTGGGTCTCTTTGCTTGAGCAGAGGGCTGGACTAGAAGACCTCCAAG